GTGACATGACCTCATTACTCATCTTGGAGAAACACACACTTCAGCATTCAGACATGACTGCAAAAATAAAAACACAACTCAGTTTTTTTAGGTATCCTTTGTAATTTTAATTCCCATAATTTAGTTTAAATGACATTTTTCCACTAAAATTCTTAAATAAAACATTACAGTACGATATATGCAAATCAGAAGAGCATACGATTTTTTTGTTGTTGTTGTTGAAGCAAGCTACAGTTTATCCTGAATTTCTTTGCATTTTTTTTTTCATCTATTTACCTTTTGAAAGGACTGGACAGTTGAGAAGCAGTAAACAGTAAGAAGACGACACAGAACTGCAAAGCCTGCAGGCCGGCCAAGGAGCACGTTATAATACAAAAACGACCAGAGACTCAAACAGACGATGGCACCCCATGTTCAGATGGAGGTCTCATTTTTTTAACCCCTCTTTCATCTGGAATGAGAGCTGGTTCTATGCAACCATGAGAGGGCGCTATTACACCAGTCCAGTTTGTGACGTACATTCAGGGAGCGAGAAGAAAATGGCACATTCTGTGTGGTTTCTGTTTATAAACTTATCATAACGATACAACAGAAGCACACTTACTCCCTAAATGACAATTTAGCCAGTTGCCAAAATGATGCCCCTCTTTATGGTGCGGACAATGGCAAACTGCGCCATCTACCGGTTGAATTTACTGGACTGAACTGAAAAAAAAAAAAAAAGCTTTCATTTATAAGATTTCAGTTTTTTCTGTCTTGAGTTACATTGCAATGTTTTTGTCCACACAAAGTTTGGTATCTGATGTCAGATGAATCAATTTATTAACCTTTTCAAAAACAATATGTAATGTTTTTTTTATTTAATAGCTAAACTTTTCCTCTCCTAGGACTGAGCAATGTGCCCTTTTGGCCTATCAGGACGACAAATGCATGGAGAACAAAAAACCCCCAAAAACAAACAAACAAAAAAACAAAACAAGAAAAAGTGAGTTGCACAAGAGGCTTGCACAGCGTGTTGATGTTCACTTGAAACACCACAAGATGAGGAGCTAGAATATCAGCCTCCTGGTGTTAAAAAGCAAAACACCATTCGTCTCCGAAGTGCCCTCCACACTCAGAAAAAGAATTATGCCGAAATAATTTCAATTTTTGCTACAGTAGCTTTCAGTTAGATATATGCTACTGCAGTAACAAAAGTATTTAAATACGTCTAGCACCTGTAGAGGGCGCTGTGGAAGCAGCTGAAATGAAAGGAAGGGTTAATGCCGAAGAGTGATTTTTATTCCATGAGATTCTGCTTTGTGTGCTGATTACAGTCGTCTCCCTGCTGAAAGGTCGCGAGGTCAAATCTCAGTGAAGGCCTGCATGTGTGGAGAACAGTGTGTCTCGCTCTTTTCCCAAATTGAAAGCCATGCATTAAACTGTCTGCCTCACATTGCCTGCAAGTCGTGTACTAGATGCATTCAGTAGGTGCCAAAATACGAGCAAGCAGTTTAAAAAAAAAAAAGAAAATTCAGATTAATTATACTGGGAAATTTTTCAGCTTTGTCCACATAAGTTACACTGACAGCTTACAGACAAAAGCAGAGATTCTTTAAAAGATGCACTTCTTCCTCAAAACACACAGCAGAAATCAGAAATCATGAGGAAGTGAACATGGCGGCTCTGTGCAGACCTCTGTGCAGCACGATCTGTGACAGAGGAAAAGGTCATGAGCTGCAAGGGAGGTCAGCTGCTCAGAAATCAGGGAGTGGACCCTGAAGGGGAAACAGTTTTTTTTTTTTTTTTCTTCGCATTTTAGACATGATGTTGTAGCAGAGCTGTCCTCCTCTGGCAGCTCACTGCCAAAGTCTAATGCAGTAGGGAAACAAAATTACAAAGTGTTTTCATCTATAGTTCAAAAATAAAAACGGTCATTTCAAAACCTGATCTACTCGCGATCGACACGTCAATCTACATGCTAGAGGAAGACGCTGGGCTCCGTGGGAGTGGGCGCGAGTGCCAGAACAGACGTGGATGGGAATATTTCCCGCAGTTTCTCCTCACTTCGAGCCCACAGCATCTCCCTCTAAAAGTGCGGAAGCTCACCCAGGTTAAAACTCAAGATATGGTAGAAAAATATATAGTTTTGATGAGATTTCTCTAGTTATTCTTTTCGTCACTGAATTGCACCCACACATGTAGTGTTAACACATTGCAGAAGCAGTGTAAAGTGACAGGGATCATGATCAGCACTACTACAAAAACCACTGAGGAAAAAAAGAAGAAAGAAATCAAACACACTTCCTCTCAAAGCTCTCTTTCTCTCTAGACACTTCTGGTTATATTCTGTTTTGTTTTACTTGCACTTAAAAAATTCATGGTTAATAGTTTGTCTTTCATTGGCATCATTAGGCAACAGTTTTTTTTAAAACAGATATTCTACAATATGGTTACAATGTAAACACCACAGTACTGAATTATTTTACTGTCTCTGCACAAAGTAAAACACGTTACAAGGCATGTGGCTACTTAAGCATAGATTTGTTCATGAAGAAAATAAAAAACAAACAGGAAACACACCACAAAAACAACAAAAACATCCAACAGCTGGCATAGAGTTTGTTCAAACAAAAATAACTTTAGACTTTGTTCATCCGCAGGTCACCGAAGTAACCTTATTTTAAAAGCTGGTGATGATCAGTTGTTTGTTTTTTTTTTGTTTTTTTTCCCAAATCGCTTTCACTTTCAGACAAAATGAGATCAACGGGATAGTTCAGGATTTAAGAAGTGAGGTTCTGTAAACAGATAATAGGAAGCTAAAATCTTTCCTGCAGCAGAAAATGGCGTCTCCATTTCAGTCTCGTAAGAGCTAACTGCTCTTCTGAGTTTTTAAGCCTATCATCTTAAAATCTTAAATAGCATTTTGGCAAACGCTATTACGCTAATGCAAGGGGAGGTTCACTGACAAATTATTTTGGTCGGCAGATTTGCAGCCAGATTCCAGCTCAGTGGAAACCAGATCCTTCTGCCATTAGTGATTGAACACTTTTGGTGTTGAAGCTGTTACTGAGGGAAGTAAATTCAAAGTTTCTTCTTACATTTAGGATGAGGAGAGTGCGTATAATATCAGATTGTATAAATTTAAGAGACCACTTAAAAAAGGTCTCTTAAATTTAAAAGGTTTGATCGTTACTCATAACCTGTCATATTTCATAAGAGTAAATTTGCCCAAACAGTGAGTGGACACAGAGTCAATGGCAAATATCCACTGAAATTAAGATTTCAATGTTTTTATGAACATTAGGAATTAAATCTTCTTAGGAAAAATAAATTGATATGTAATGGTTAAGTTTCAAAATGGCTTGTTTACAAGTATTTAGGTTTGGACAAAACTTCTTAAGGATAAAGTAAGGAGACAACTTTTCTTTGCCTTTGAAATAATCTGCACATAAAAGTGCTGGGATATTTTTAAGAGTTGGGTTGCTAAGACTTCAGAAAACTGTTTTTGAACTGATCTGCTCATATTAGCAATTAGCAGTAGCCTCTAATCCCAGTTATTTACAATCTACATAAAATTAAGAACATAGTAGTACATTTAAAAATGTCTAACATGCAAGTCATAAACACAAGAATGCCAATTGAAATCAAAACTGAAATAAAGACTTTGAAAGTTTGGAGGTATCCAACAGCCCAAGGTTTAACTTCCAAAATGGCTGCCAGGCTTACTGAATGTGATTGGTGGAGGTATAAACTACGTTTTAGTGCTTCTTACGGTTCGTCTTTCATAAATCAATGGGACACAGTGCTCCACAATCACTATATGTAAAACGGCTCCTTCAGAGTTTAAACGCATTGAACAGAATTTTGCTGTGATCATTTTTTTTATTGCTAAGAGTTACCATTCTGACTTGCAGCTGGAGTCTGATTGAACTTCCAGATATGAATTCTGGCTTTCGAGGCAATATCATAACAAAATAAAAAAAATCAGTTTCCTTCTGCAGGTTAGAAATCAACTGCTTACAAACTTCTAACAAAACCTCACTTCTTGTAGTCCCTGACCATCTCTTTAAGACAGATGTCTCATGATATTTAGCGTTAAGAGCAGCCTGAAATCCTGCACCAGGCTTTAGGTGAGTCTTCACTCTCACTGCATGGAATCAAATTGAACCTTTAGCACCGGCGGGCAGAAGACGCCTCTGCACTTTGAACACACGAAGGAGCGACGCTGCTTTTTGCTGGAGTCCTCTTTCCTTACATGTTTTAGTGTTCGATATGATACCATTTATCAGGTGAAAGTAGGGTTCAATATGACAGTGACTCAGCTGTATGTATGAAAATAAAGGCTTAAGAATAAAGATATGTTATGGGACCTCGTCAGTTTGCGCTGGCACGCCTCAGCTCAGTTTTAGTGTTTTGGCATCTTTCGGCTCTGAATTGGCATGCTGAAATGTTGACTTTGGCATGGTTCGACTCTGAGGAGAGTGACCTATCTTTCCCAACCCAACCTTTCTGGTTCATTTCCTCAAACTGAGCTGTTTTCCAATCAAACCACACATTTTTTAATTCCCCTCCCCTACTCTGAACCTTGAGCATGAATCATACTTTGTATGATGACAATAATGAGCCCCCCCACCCCCCCACCCCCTACAACAATAAAAACAAACCAGGATCCCACTGCCAAACTCCATAAAGGACAGTATTTACAGTACAAATTACATTATAATACATCATTAAAAAGTACGAGACTCATCTCTAAAAACATACAGGAGCTCTCCACAAAAATGATAATCAAATTCTTTAGTAAATTAGGTTTCTATGGTATCATGGAAAATAAAAACGTTGCACGACTCTCTTTTTCTGAGGCATCCTTTCCTTTTGGCCCCGGTTGCACCTAGCTGGCGTGTCTGAAAACGGACATGATGGATGGGTTGGTTAACCACACGCATGTCTTATCTTATTTTTTTGTGCCAAAGCAAGCCATAATACAACAGATCACACTCAGTCAGAACGACAATATGTACACTTTTTTTTCCTTGTTCGGATATCAGATATGTGCTCACTGGTATGGTTACTTTTTTTTTTTAATTCTTAATTTCTTTTTTAATTAAAAGGTAAATTTCCTATTTTTTTTTATTTACAGCAGACTGAATGATGCATTTCCCCCCAAAAAGAGAATAAATATGAACTGATTGAAACTCAAATGAGTTGAGAGGATTTCCGGACGACAGAGCCAGGCAGCGTGGGAACCAACCCTCCTCACATCCCTCACAGTACAACCAAAGTCCATTTGTAAACCTCTGCAGCTTCCTCAAACTCTTCTCCTTCACTTCACTCACTGCAGTTCCAGCTCGCCTTCCCTCAACAACACCCAAGCTACAATTTCCTTCCAAGTTCCCCCTTCTCTGACTCCCCTCTTTCATTCTCCACCGCTCGCCCTCCGGGCCACTTCCCCCCTCAGACGAAGGGCAGGATGCCGTAGACGAACAGGGCCATGACGGCGGCGCTGAACAGGCCTGCCACCGGCACAGTGACGAACCAGGCCAGGAAGATGTTCCTGAAGAGGTGCCAGTCCACGGCCCTCTGGGAGCGGATCCAGCCCACGGCTACCACCGAGCCCACCTGGACGGCGCCGATGGAGAGAAGAGACAGAAAGACAATCAGCAGCAGAGCTGAACGCATTTGAAGGTTGCAGAGATGGTGAAGAGCTGCAGGGTGTCTTTGCGGTTCCCCGGACTATGTGGCCATTGTCCATCACCGTCATCGCTCAGCTCAAATACACATCTGTGAAAACATTTATTGGCGCCTCAGGTAAAGATTTGTAATAAATTCTTCTGTCATCACAGATTTTGAATATTTTTGCAAGGGGAAAAAAATTATATGTGGCTCAGATATTTGTAACTTCTGGCTACGAGAAGTTACCCTTGGTACATTTCCCCTTCTGTCAACGGGACAGCATGTTCCAAGATTGGAACACATAGAGATGGATCTTAGACGGTACGTCCAGATCATTCAATCCTTTTCTTCTTCCTTCAGCTCACCCCACAACTTTTAAATTTGATTTAGATCTGGAAGCTAATTTTGTGTCTACTGAACTTGACGTAGCCCAGGGGTTTGCAACTCCAGTCTTCTAGTGCCAAAGTTCTGCATTTGCTGAATGTGTCTCTGTTCCAGCACACTTGAATCAAGTAAATTACTAAGTAACAGGTCTTTGCAAAACCTAAATGACCCCATGGAGGCCACTTTATTCAGCTTACTCTTTAAAATCAAACAGTGTTTTTTATTTCTATGTAGAACTTGAATGTAACAGGAGATAACCGGGTCAGTGAGAGATGTATTGTAGTACAATTTATTCATGCTTTTTACACATCTTTACCCAGTGGTGCCAACAAATCGGTCTGTGTAGCTATTAGCTTCTTCAACAACCAAACAAATTGAATGCTACACCTCTGTGTAATTAGAAGTATTTTGACTAGATTTTGCATGTATTTATTTATATCTGCAAACCTGTAAAGGTTCTTATCCTTTTGCAATAAGGTTTAGCATCAGCCTTCTAAAAAAGAAGAGCCTGAGTAAAATTGCTAATAATATCCGAGCTGACAGAGAAGTGACAGAGGTCAGCTGTGAATAGAAGAGCGTGTGCAGCCTGCAGCTCTTCACATTTCAGACTCAAATGTGTGTTAGTAACAGCAAGCCTGGAGGTTATTACTGACTAAACCAAAAAAAAAATAAACTCCCGTGTGAAAGTCTGACACAAGCAGGTGTAGCCTAAGAAACACACTCAGTGTCAGACTTTCACTTGTGCATTTTTTATTTACCTTAAACAGCAGGAACCCAGTTCAGTTGGAAGAAAAATATGATTTCAGACATATTTGAGAATCATGTGCAGTGACTCGCCATCAGTCAGAGCAGCAGGCAACACTTAGCCGTCTGTATTCAGCCAGAGAAACGTGAGACGCTGAGCGCACTCAGATCTCTGCCGACCTCACCCAACACATTTAAATCGGTCCAAATTTGTAGATGAAAGGTCGGACGGACAAACAGTGAGCAACACTAAGACCTGGAGGTTCGTATGGGAGACTCTTGTCAAATTGTTTGTCACCAACATGAACCTCAACACTCCAAGAAACCGTAAAAAAAAAAAGTTTTTAGATCATTTGCATGCAGTAACCTCAGTCTTAGTGTCGCTTGCCAACAGATCCTCTGAAATAGCAACGTCACTGTACACGATCATCTTATATTGACCCACACCAAGGACCGGGCATCGATTTAGCCTCAACAAAAAGAGAAAAGTCCGATCTAAGGAAAAGATCAGTCAGACCTGACACAAGTTAATGAAACCCAATCAATGCCCATCAATCCTCACACTCGCTCCTTCACACAAACTGAACCATTGGAGATGCACAGATATGAAGTTAATTTATTGCCCACAATTTGAAGGACACTGAGAAATCTCAGTTTCACTCTCTCAGTTTAAAATAAACGGCTTTAAATGCAATCAATTTGCAAATTAGAATTTAGTTTTTTAGATGGCATCTCACCAAGAACATCTGTACATCTCCAAACCAAATCATTTAAAAATTACATAATTACCACAATCATAAACCTCTAACCATCACTAGATTTAGCATCTTGGCAAAGCAGCAGATTATCCAAAATTTTAGAGAAGAAGCATGATAGGATTGTATGTGAGAAATGGAGATAAGAAATGGTGCTGATGGTGATAATAGTGATATTTAGACAAACTGATCAGTAACTGGACACCAGTTTTGAGTCTCCTGCAGTTTCCCTTCAGGGAATTCAACCCAAAGGCACCAAATTCAATAACTCAACTACTAAATAACTGGGGAACATTAATTTAAAAAACTATAAGCAGAAAATTTGTAAAATACAGAATTGTCTCAAAGAAATGTTTATGCTAAAGATGTGTTATTTCATGACAGTTTCAGTATGCAGATTATTTGAAACTTTTATAAATGGAAAAGTTTCAAATTTGGCCATTTGGTTTTTGAATGATGATATTCAAAAATAATTTTGAATGTCATCATTCAAAAACCAAATAAATAATTAACTACTGGCGTGGACTCAAAAATAAAATCAAATGTAGATAAGTAAATAACTGAAAAATAGAGATAATTCAAGATGAGGGCCAATTATTATCATTCTACAAAAGAAGTAACTAATTTTCATTAATTGAAGTTTAAATATGGGAAGGGATTTAAACCCTTACAATTTCAGGGTGAAAATAATAATTTGTTAAAATAGGCTAGACTACAAATACATTTATGAGTAACAACTTAATCCCCAGTATCAAACCAAGTACAATCTTTCATGTTGCAAAGTTTCCTTAAGACAAATTGGAAATTTAGTTTCTGGAGGAAAACTGCAAGAGAGATCAAAACTTCAACTTCAGGGGTTGTGATTGATTTCAGTGATCAACAGCTAGAGATGAAGTGCTGAGGACGAGCTCTCATGGAGGAGGCTCCTCACTCAACTGCTTATAAACTCCAATACCTTGCAGTGGGTGGAGCTTATTGGGATGCCCACATTTGATGCAACAAGCACTGTTAGCGCACTCATTACTTCAATGCAAAATCCGCTGTGAAGACACATGAGTGGAGAGACAGAAAGATGAAGAGGGAGAGGTAAAAATAGTGGAAAACAAAGTGTGACGGGTGGGATTGGGTAGGAGGACGCTGGCCGGTGGTGGGGAAGTCGGCTTACGACCAAACACAGGAGGGTGGGGACCCAGGCGCCAAACCATGCCAGTGTTGAGTGGACAGCATTATGAGAGCTGGTGGAAATGAAACAGAGTAATGTAGGTGTGGAGGAGGGAACAGGGGGCGGGGATCAGTAAATGGGACCGGACCAGTCTGCCTCGCCTTCCAGTCTGGTTCTCGTGTTCCTGAAAAGAACAGGGGAGAGGAGCTGCACACCGAGGCCCAGGGCTGTCCGAGAATGGCTGGATGGGGCAAAATGTCCGATAGTCTTCTGCTCTACCTGGACGGTAAAATCTGGACTTTAAAAGGAAAAGTTGATAAAGGCGTGGCTGCAGATGAAATAGCTTTGGGAATCATTTGAAATGATAAAGCTGCAGTTTTTAAAAAAATGTATATTATAGAGATATTTGTGTCTAAATAATGGCAAACCTCTTAAACTGAAAAGGTTGTTTCAAAAAATGTAAACCCCAAACTGTTTCTAAAACCTTTAGAAATTGCATGTATTTTATCATTTTGTGGGTGTCACAGTTTTTTAGTCATGATAAGAAAAAAACTCAACTGTTTATAAACTAGTTAGCTCCTGCAGCCCAGCTAACACTGCCAGCACAGAACCGGTTTCACTGAACAACAATCTGTTGTTTATTATGGCGGAAGCACAATTACAATCACTTCTATAAGCGGATGACATCAGTTCTCACCAATTTATTTCATGCAAATATAATAAAAATTCATATATATTAATATTATAATTGTTTTATTTATGGGTGTACATACTTACAAGAAGATGGGAAATTGATTGGGCTGCATAATACAGCCCAATCAACTGACATGAAACCTTTATTGCACATAAAGGTTTCATGTCAGTCAATAACTAGAATTATTGATTAGCTTTTTTATTTTAAATATGTGAAATGCTGTCAAACTGGTGAAGTGATCTTTTCTGCTTAATCCACAGTTTCCTTTCAAGTTGTTATACTCATTTTCTCTTTCCGAGAATGGCTGGATGGGGCAAAGCTTTTATTTTTTTAATTTAAGCAGTAATGAGAGATGCTGATGAAACCTGAAACTGCTGCTGCACATGTTACTCAACAGGTTGTTCCAAGGCAACCAAAGACTGAGTTGATGCTGCCCACCATGTTTACCTAGCCTACATCCCCCAGAATGCTACGTGGTTCAGTGAAATTGTTGAAAATTTGATCATATATTGATATTGATCACATGTCTATCGGGATAGATATGTTTTTGCTTTTTTCACCTAAATGTGTGAACTGAAATTTGCTTAAAACAAATTTACTTCAACAGTTAGTGGTAAGAATGTTATATACCGTAATTTTCGGACTATAAGCCGCGACTTTTTTCCCATTTTTCGACCCTGCGGCTTATATAACAGTGCGGCTTATCTATGGATTTTTACAGCTAACGGCCACTAGGGGGATACCTAAATCCATGGATTTTACCATCCACCATGTTGACGTCACATTTGCTTCAACACACAAGTAGCTGCGCACACGGGAACGCGGAGGTCCTCCGGAAGCAGACTTCTACTGCGAGTGGTACGAGACAGAAGGACAGCGAGAGAAAGACGGACATTGCAAGCGCAAGACAGTTTGTGAGACACCCTCATTATGGAAAAAACGTAGAAATGCATATGATGCAGCTTTTAAGTTAAAGGCAGTCAATTTGGCAGTAAACGAAGGAAATAGAACCGCTGCATGTAACTTTGGAATCAACGAGTCAATGGTGAGACGTTGGAGACGCCAGCAGGAAAAATAAATAAATCGTTCACCAAAACGGGTCGCATGAGAAAAGCTACCGTTGCACAAGTTTGCGAGTGGATCCTGATGGCGTGGAGGAGTGTAAAAAAAACCCACAATCACCAACGGGTTAAGAAAGGCTGGACTGCTGCGTGATTGAGAGGAGGACGCCGCCATACCTGAGGCCTTTCAGAGGCTGTTCGATTCCGACAGTGACGAAGAGGAGTTCGTTGGTTTTGAGAGCGACATTGAAAGAGAGGGGAGAGTGGCTGACGAAGCCCTGAACCTGTTTGTTTCCGACACTGAAGATGAGGACTTTTGTGGTTTTAGTATGGAGGAAGAAGACGAAGATGAGGATTAATGACTTGACTTTTCTGGTTACAGCCATGTACTTCACCAAAGATGAAGAGGAGGGTTACGGTAATAACTTTTCTGGTAGACTGATAACCGTATATTTTAAGCAACAGTGTTACTGCAATTTAGACTTACTGTTGTGTCACAGGCACTTTATTTGTTGTTGTAGCTTTATATGTTCTGTACCTTCTGTAGCTACTATTGCACTAAATGGTTGAAAACATTATGCAAATATGCAACTTGTTTGTTCAAATGTTTATAAATAGGAGCTACTATTGCACTAAATTGTAACAGTTAACGTATGCAAATATGCAACTTGTGTTGAAATGATAATAAATAGGAGCTTCCCCAAACAGTTGCCTCTTTCCCAACAATCCCCTCTGTGCACGAACCATATGGTAATTACGTAAACATAAAACCTGCGGCTTATAGTCCGGTGCGGCTTGTATATGTACAAATCATGCAATTTAGCTTCTGCGGCTTATATTCAGGTGCGGCTAATAGTCCGGAAAGTACGGTAAATTAAAGCCAGGAATTAAAATATTCAAAAAAAATCTACTCTGCTTTTTTCTTTTGATTAATAAATTTGTCATATTTGATCTCTAGAGCAGTCTTTCCAATGTTCAGAGATGAGCTCAATCAAAAACATGTTCAGTAACAAAACAAAAATGATTGTCAAAGCCATCAAAACATTGTCAAAAATCAAAAAAATTTAATGACAATAATTCAAATGTTAGAATTTAGCAATTTTTAGAGGATTTACTTTCTGTCTCCAGGGATTATCTAAGACCCGGCGCACTGGGAGAAAGTGTGAGCTCCCCTCTCCCCTGGAGGAACCTGCAGGGGTCAAGAGGTCAGTCTGAGGGAGTGGGAGGGGCCACTCGGTCATACCTTGCAGTGTGTGGTACTGACAGGGATTCCGATATTTGAAGCCAACACGACTGTGAGTGCAGAGGCCAGTTCAATAGTGAACCCACTGTGGAAGGAGGGAGGGGAGACGTTCTTCACTGTAATGACTTGTACGGAGCTGCTGGAGGCACAGCCTCCCCAGCATCCACATCACCAAGGACATTTTAACAGTTCTTCCATGTTTACACATCACACAGTCAAACAGTAACAATGAAACTGTAATTACTAAAGCCCTTCATTAGACAGCCACACACAAAGAGTAGAGCACTTGTGTGAGGTCCTGAGTGTTTGCCGGTAATTTCAGGTTTGGTGGCAAGTGATCACAGACGGGTGTGACTCTGAAGAGCTCAACGCTTACAAGAAGACATAATTTCTTCAGAAATCATTCCCCATTTCCAGGGATCTTTGGCTCTAGAACAACGGATGAACTGAAAGAGAAAATTGTTAATGCAATCACAGAAAATACACAAAATTCATGTGCATGTGTCAGAAAATTAGAGAATTAAAGTTATAGAGCAAAAAGGTAGCAGCTTGAAACTACAGGATTCCTTTGTAGTACTTCTATTATTGATATTTGCTAAATAAAAAGCAGCAACGCTGGAGCAAATGTCTGGGTGGATTTCATTTAGCTACAGAGATATAATCGTTAAAATGTCATTCCAGTCATTGGTCACGAACAGCAGAGCTAATCTGTATCCCAGCAGGGCTCCAATGATTTCACCAAAAGTACTTTTGAGCAAAGCTTCAAGCCCTCTGTAAACTGGATCTACTTCAGGTAAAACTAACATTTCAGAGGCTATTTGAATCGCTAATGGGGCTTTAGTCCAGATATATTCCTAAACCTTCTGTGAAAGTGTAAAATGTCATAAAGATTTTATATTGCTGCAGTCTCTTTCAGTAAGACATTATTATCAGCATAATCTACACCTAATATTCCCCTGAATCTCATCTAGAATCCTACTGGGGAATCTCTCTCTGAAGACTGGTTTTCTTTAACAACTGAAGTGAGCTGGTCGAGTTCAGGCACTGCAGCAAGCAGAAATATTTCAAAGACTTGGTGAAGTGTAGCTGCTAGTCCTTGGCAGTAGTCTAAGCGTTTTTGACAAATCAACTTTACTAAACGTTACTCTAAAAAGGTAGACAACTAAAATATCTACCTTAAAAAAAGCTTAAAGTGACAAGTTCACAGCAGTTCAAGTGATATTTAGCTCATGTGGATTTCCTGATAAATTTTTCCCTTTATCTCCCTGTGGTGTGATGCACAATGGATAAGGATTCAGATTACATTTCTATGCATTGAGAAAAGTTAAGAAAAGAAAAGTTCAGTTAAGAGTGAAGTAAGCTTGACAATTGAGATTGGCAAATATGATTCTTTAACTTGAGGTTGAACTGACTGACTTATCTGGTAGTATGAAGATCTGGTTGCTTTAAACACACTAACTGGTGAAAGCTCAAACAGCTCAGGAAACATCTGCACCAATCTGATCAGGCTTGAGGATAATGACGAAAATCCATACTCCAGGTTTGAAAATACCTGACTGTGCTTGAGATTACTGGGGCTGCTTAAATATATGCCAGGGCATGTACAGCAGACTACACAAACACACACAATGTTCTGTTTTTGCCCCCAAACAAATTTCTTTGTCAGGCTGATTCATGAAAACGGACTCTGGAGAAAAGCAAGGCTTTTGAACTGTGAACCAGAGCAAATTTGTCTTCGGATACTGGCAGCCCAGTCAGTGTGGGATGGAAGGAGAGAGATTAAGTGGAAAAAAACGGGTACAAACACAAAGAGAAAGGAGCAAATAAAAAGGTGGAGAAATAAAGAAAGAGGGAAAATAATGAGATAGCATGAGCGTGGGAAGGACTGAGGGACTGAGGGGAAAAGGGAGACAGATTTAAAGGAGAAAGATGAATAAAAGACTAAAGGATGAGGCGATCAACAGATATTTACTAAAGGGTAGAAAAAGAAACGACAAAGAAAGGGAAAAAAGAAAAAAAAAGGAAAAGTGCAAGAGGAGTCGCCAGGCTGTCGTCCCTCCCTGTGGTTTGAGAGGAGAAGTTCCCACTGTGGTTTGTTCCCTCTCTCCCTCATCCTACTCCGCTTCATCCGGAATGCCAAACAACTTCCTGTAACCCTCTGTGGTGCTCCTGCCAGGCAAAAACAACTTGCGCGCGCACACAACTTCATAGGAGCTTGCTGGAGCAATTAGGCCTAAATAAGCATGCATGCATGCATACAAGCACACATACAGTACATTCAACACAGGTCATACAACCCGCAGGCAAAGTGCTGCTTTTTTTTTTTCTTAGACATTGCTGAGGTTTGTGTGCACACATTCCTTAGATAATGCGTGGGAAGACTTAGGAGACAGCAAGAGACAGAGATGGAAGTAAAGACGAAAGAAGAGCAGGGAGCGATTAACGATGCTCTCTGACTGCTGCTGCGGCTGCGTGAGTTGTTGGACAGCAAGCTGTAGGGGTTCATTTACTGTGGTCTGAAAAACGACCCAATTATCCGCATGTGTTATGTAACAGGTCAAAACAGAAACAGAACATATACTGTTCTGCTAAGAAGTGTTGATATTTAGGAGGAGATTTATAAGAACCTGCATGACAAAGAGAATCTTGGACTCTTTATACATTGCATAAGTTCTTTATTGAAGCAATTTATTCTCTGGATCATTCAAACCAATTTCAAAATGTTATCAAATTAAAAGAAAACTGAGGACCTTCATCATATTCTTTTAAGCTTCTTAATGCAAACTTATTGGATACAATTTAACTATTTTAGAATATTTCTTTACTGAAAATCTTTAGAATCACTAACAGATCTAGAATGCTAAGATGTTAAAAGTGGTTTAAAAATTTTGCAAAGTACAGTAGATAAATTGATTCAGATCCATCTGAAGCGACAATGATTCTATATACATTGTTTGAGCAGCTGACGTAGTAACTTTAGTCAGTAACAGGAGTGTTTGTGTGAATTGGAGCATGCTCAGTTTAAACATAATGAGTCACAGGTAGCTCATGAGGCGTTTACAACCGCACAATGGAAATGACTGTTTCCATGTGTTTGTGTTTTTCTATCTGGCTGTTGTGGATTATTAACTACCCTCTAAGTGATCAATTACTCTAAACATTTTTCATGACCCTGAGTGCTGGATCCTATTAAAGCTGTGTGTGTTTACTCACCACAAAGTCTGCAGAATTGGATGAACCTGTTTGTGTCAGCCTCTTTGGGGCAACCCAACCCAATCAAGTAGGAAATTCAGTCTTTATCACATGATCAACCACCCAGCCATGTACAAGCAGACACGTTTGCACCGTGTGTCCTATGAGGAGACTCTCTCACCTTGAAGGGGTGATGGGAGTCAGGTCCTTCCCCATGGTCTGGATGACGCGCCGACCCCACACCCACAGGCCGGCACAGATGCCCACACCGCCATAAAACAGCAGCCAGATCGGAGTGGCAGCATCCTGCATGACTCCACCCTGATCATAAATCATCCACAGCGCCACCAGGGGCCCAATGGCATTACTGCAAATATGAGAAAACAATGCCTTCAGCTTATATCGTAGCTTTGATTGAAAGAGCCAACCTGAGTTAAACTGGTCACCAAAAATTGTCCACAAATAAGAGAAGCACTACCTCAACATAATTTTACTTATTTTCAAAAGTAAAAAAGTAGCTGCTCAAGAAACTATTCAAGAGTAAAAAAGCATAACTGATGTAAATATAAAAATGACATCATCAGACAGATGATGATGTCAATCACAAATTGTGATTCTTTATACAATAAATTTTTCCTCTGTGGAAGTAAAAGTACTCCTAAAAGATAATTTTTTCTCCAAAAGGTTTATCAAGTAAATGTAATCGAGTAAATGTAATTAGTTATTATCCAACTCTGCTCACCTGACATCATTGCCTCCATGGGCAAAAGAGCCAAAGCAGGCGGTGAGGATCTGCAGGAAGTGGAAAAGCAGAAACACCTCGGACTTGTCCTTCTCCTCATGCTCTTCCTCTACCAAGTCATCAAGAGGCACCGGCGCTGGAGCTCCTTCTTCGTCCACCCCCTCCAGCTCTGTGGCCAGCTTCAGCTCCACTCCTCCCTCGTCTGCTTCGATCTCAGCCTCAGCCACGGCGTTGCAGTACGACGAGTAGCTGTCGTAACGTATCCGCTTTTTGGAGTAGGATACGCTGTTGCTCCTGCCGCCGCCCTCTCCCACCAGCTTCTCGCTGTCGTCACGGGACTCGGAGCGCCTGACAGGCTGGACGGGCATGCCGCATATCGCAGCTGTGTAGCAGGTGTAGCTGTTGTTGCGGCGCAGCAGGCGGTAATTGTTGTCAGGCTGTTGTGCGCCGGACCGGTCGCCATCATCCATGCGGCCCAGGTGGATTTTGTGCAGCAAGTCTTTGTAGAGGCCGGAGTCCTTGTGGACCGTGTGGTAAACCTGGCCGTCGCTACGCATGTGGCCATCGAAGGTGAAGCTGCCGTTAGCGATGGGTGACTTGAGGCAGCCGTTGGTCATAGAGTGGGTTCGACCTAAAAGGTGGAAACAAGGAGGGCATTAGAGAGAACATGCAAAGCCCTTTCAACAGTCAGTTTTATTTTACTGTCCCCTATTCAGTTTGAAATCTGAATGGTTTGAGAAACTTACTATAAATTTGGATTTAGGCCAAGGGCATTAACTGGACCGACCACTGTTCTATAAATACTAATCTAAATATGTCCATCATCTCTCTGGCCGTGACATTTAAGTTTTATTTCACTTCAATTCAATGAAATAGTTAATTTAAATCAAGAATAAAAACCCTTAGAGTCGCCCTTGAGTTATAATAAATGGCACATTGTTCCGCATATTTGATGTATATTTGCTTGATGATTTTGATGAGGACATTTGACAAAACATACTTTTTATTGCCGGTTCATAATTGGTTACTGTATCATGTTTTTATGGTGTAAAGCACTTTGAACTGCCTCGTTGCTGGAACATGCTGTACAAATAAACTTCATTTAACTTGTCCAGTGAACAGATTCTTCCGTATGAACTATGGACTTCTTCACTATTTCTTGGCTTAATGCTCTCCTTGCTGACCTGAGGACACTCATGTCTTGGTAGGTTTGCAGCAGGAAGCTATGGATTTTGTTTCAGAACCAAATCTGTCTAATCTGCTGCTGGTGGTTCACAAATGTTCTCTAATAAAGCCTGGGGCCTTTACAGTACAACTGGATTTATACTAAGGTTAAGTTACATACATTTGGATTCTTTTCCTTTGTTGGTGACTTCTGAAGGCAACTGGCTACATTTTATTTCATTTAGGGGTATTCAAGTAAGAGAGACTAAATACATATCCAGGCAACCCAGTAAGAATAAACATAATTATTCTTATGTGCTTCTTAGTGTTTGTCTGCCACATACTGTCCTCATAAAAAACACAGAAGGCCATGCATCTCAGAAAGTGTTTTCTACAGGAACACATTCTTACCGTACACCCTGCCGTTGGGCAGGACGGTGCCTCCATTGGCCATGTTGGAGAGCTCTCCGCTGGATTCCCGGGTGCTCCTGTCACTGCTGCCCCCTGTGAGCGGCACCACGGCCTCGTCTGTGCCTTTTGCCCCAGGCAGCTCCTTGAAGACGGGGCTCTCTTCTTCTTCTTCAGGGATTTTGTCCAGACTTTCATCAGATATCCTGGACAGAGCCTGCTCCTTCTTTAGGCGACCTGAGGAAAATCCAGAGATAATTAGAAGTCATGCAGACAAAATATTTCCAAATAATGCAATGCTTCCAATGAAGAAATTTGGTGCAATAGTTGATTGTTCAGATCCCTGTTTGAGTTACCACATCAGCTTGGAAACAAAGGTTTTAGTGTCTGTAATTAAGAATGAGACGACCAAGAAACTAAAGAGCGTAGACAACTGGGTAATTAGCAGCTTATATATTTAAACAGATAATATGATAAGACCTTCAAATGATTGTGAAAGTGTGCCAAAAACTCATCATGAATCAACCCTGTTCTTTCAAACCCTTTAGGACTTTGAAATGCTCCTCCTGTAATAACCAAAGCTTTACGGCTCAACTTTTATTTTAAAGAATGTCTGTGATTTTCATTCTGGGAGTTTAAGTTAAAACCTTTTGTTTCACCTGGAAATATTGAATTCTATGAATCATCTGACTTAATTTTACTTTTATTTTAATTAGAGACCTAAGGAGCAGTCACTTAAATTAAACAGAATGGAAATAGAATTTATTGTCCCTCAGTAGGTTAATCCAAATTAAATCTAAGATTCTGACACCAATAAATTGCTGAGTTGCTAGTTTCCACTTTTTCCAGGTAAACAGGGGAAAGTCACAGCTCATGCTTTTGTTTCGAGGCAAACAGAAAGAGACAAGAATCTATACTAAAACTAAAAGAAATTCTTGATACACAAGTGGTCAAAATGCCTTTTGTTAATGATTTTTGAAGGAGATATATCAAGTTTAATGCACTGTTGATCTGCTGTTTTGTGAGAGGTTTGGGAGGAGTGTTACCATGGAAGTGTATGTGCATTTTTTCTGATCTGTAGGGATTGTACAGAAAGTCATGGTCAGTACAATGATTGCAGGAATTTGAAATGAAAACAGACACAGAAATTCCTACATTTTGATTCATAGATTGTATGTGTAGTTGAGAAAATGTGGGCATAAAAGAAGTTTCAACCAAAACATTTCTGAATAATTCACAGGGTCAAATGTAACACTGGAATGCTGCAGGTAGCTGGTTTTGGACTTTAGGCAATGTTTCTCTGTTAGAGAAATGCACATTCTGTTGACAAGGGTGTAGTTTAGAAATAGGGTGACTAAGAGTTTTTTCTCCAACCTTTCCATCATTTAATGAGTTCCCAAAAAGCAGACAGCTCTGTTTTGCTTTGGTTCTGCTTTTGAAACAGCACAGCAGCACATTTTGCAATTGTTATGAGAGAAAACATGAATGTTTATAACTTGCTACAAAGAAATATAAGATTGAAACGTAACAACAGTACAACTATGCTTTTGCCTTGGAAAACGTTGGTTACTTAGAAAAATTCTGCTGGAACATTTTCATAAACACACACATCCATCAGCTGATTCAAACTAATCTCAGTGCTGGCACTCCTGATGACGTGCTCCTGTACAGTAAGTACACAAACACCTTTTAAATCGTTTCATTTTATAGAAATAACCAGCTTAAGACCACACTACGGTGCATAATCCTGAAAGGCATTTAGAGGTCATGATATTCTTGCCAACAGGCCAATTCAGACTCAAAACTGTGCAGTTAAAGAACGGAGAGAACTAAATTTAATTTGAATAATATAATTTTTATGAGTAAAGTTGAGTCTTTAAGTTCCATTCTTTTCACAAAGGAAGTAAGTGTTTGTATGAAAAGGGCTTGGCATGTTAATTTAACCAGGTAGTTGTTATTTATTTAACTCCAAGCCAACCTAAATAGACAGGCTTCCCTCCTCTATTCCAGACAGTCTTTCCACCGTTTTGGTTTTCTGTGTCATGAGTTTTATAATCGTCTTCCATGCTGTGGGCTACTTCTCCCATTAGGAGAAACAATTGCTGGCTTTGATCTAAAAAGCTTTCTACACTGCAGGCATCAATTCTAACCATTTTCATCTGGCATAGTAGCTACATACAAAGAATACCTACTCCTGAGGGGAAATAAAACGCAACATAATAAGAGGACGGAGTACTTTGGTGGTTTTAATGACTCCAACCAACAAACAACAAAACCCACAGCAGCTCAACTCTGTTATTTAGCATCAGAACTTTAAAATAGACGGAGACTTCTTAGGATGTTGATCCGAGGGGGAGAAATGGTTGGAACCACGCACACAAAAACATGCAGATACTCACTTGCTATTTTTCTTCTCATCCAAGGACAGACGAATATCCAGACCAAAGCTGCACAGACCAGCGACCCGGCTAATGTGATGAGGAAGATGGCCCACACTGGTAGCATCTCTAGTCCAAGCACTGCACATCACAAAGTACATCACAATATTTCTTCATCTTGCAAGTACAGTCACCACCTATTTTTCTGCTCTTTGTCATGATACATAAAACATTATATCATTTCAGAACAACTATTGTCAAGGACTTACATGGGGCTCCAGTGTACATGATAGAAAAAGTGTTAATCCCGATGGTGGAGGCATAGAAGACAGGCAGCGCACGCAGACCATTTGGGACAGAATCATCCTTAAAACATCGGAGAGATAAGTTTTAAATTGTTATTCTGGTATTTTAGTTTTACTTCAGATATATTTTTAAATCTTTTAGCATCCTTCCATCTGAAATAGTGAGTGAATGCCCTGGACTTGGGATTTCAATTCAACAAGAAAAAAGACAAATGTGATAAGGTGGAAGCAAAACAATTTAGATAGAAATTAAAGCAGTGACACCAGTTCACTTCATAAACTGTCATGAGATTCGTTCTTATACAACTTTGCAGTGGTGACCTTAAAATGATCTGCAACCGTTTTTATCCTCCCGGTGTGCCTGCTATCGCCTGTTACATAACATCAGATTTGCATGTGTTGCCAAATCAAAATGGGTTTTTATCAGTGCTGAAGTTCTCTGGTCAAGTTATGTCTGCACATCAGCCAGAGTCTGACTTGTAATGTTTAAACTCACACCACCTGAAGAGACAGTCATACCTTTATGTAACTGTGTCCAAATCACTTCCAGCAATCCAAAAAACAATGATGGCTGTCTATCACGTAGACTTTATGATAGTCTAGGCTTACTTAGTATGAGATTGAAACTATTTATGAAATCCACCTTATTGAGGATGAAGTGCCTGATGAGCATGAAGAGGAGTCCAGACATGAGTCCAGAGAGCAAGGGTGAGATGAACCAAGAAGACACTGGAGGAGACAGAAAAGCTTATTAGGAGTTAACAAGACACAAAGAAAAAATCAGTTCAAATGTTTTTGCTCCATTTTTCTACATTAATGTATTTTTGTATAACAGCAACACAATGCACAGTTCTTTCTCCTGACATCCTTACCGATTTTGACCAGCTGCATCCACTGCACGCCCTTTGTGCCGATGGCCACCATGGAGAAGCCGATGGTCGCTCCAACAATGCAGTGAGTCCCAGAGATGGGCAGTTTGAGGAAGGAGGCGATGAGTTGCCAGACAGCTGACCCTGTAACCCAAACAGAAATGGTGGCATGCAGGAGTTGATGAAATTCTTACTTTCTCTTTTTGTAGAATTTTTTAATCATCTCGTTTTGGTTGAGGTATGGCTTTTTAGACAAATAGTCTTTCGAATGCTGTATAGCAGGAAGGATTTTTGCTCTTAGTTCTTTATTTTTTCTGACAGCTACCCTTCTGCTTGTACTTGTGGTAACAATGTATTTTCTTTTCGACCAGGAACATCTGATTAGATGCTCAGCATGTAAAGCTCAAATAATATCTGAACTATGACCTCCAAATCTCAGTGGAGTTGAAACCATTGCTTTATGAATGCAGAGTGCAACCAAAGAGGAGAGAGCGGAGGAGAAAGTTAAGTCATCTCTTCCATCGATCGCAACGGGCAAGAATCATTTAAACTCTGACCTCCAACATCTCTCTTTTTGACGATACAGACATTTAAAGAGGAATGATAAAAGCACATCATGCAAGAGTCATGCAGGACGTGGAATATTATTTCTGCTGCTTGTACTTGTGAGCAAGTCATAATAGTCATGAGACTTTCATACATAAAAAGTGTCTTCAGTCAGAGGCCTCTTCAAATTTGTTGCTAGACAGGCTGCTACCAGAGATGTCCACAATAACTCTTCGAAGATACTTGAATGATATGAGTTACAACAATATTTCTGTTTGGGATGAATAGACTATTTTTGAACTGCATATGAACTTTTTAGCCATTTACATATAAACTATGTTGTAGATCTAAAAACAAACTAATAAACAGTTTTTGATGCTCTCACATTTAGTGGAAAAGATATGGAGATGATGCTAACTTGAACAACACAAAATTCACCTGAAATTATTTTATTATTATCGTTAAAAAATAGAATAAAATAGAACCTTAACATTCCCTGCCAATTACAGAGGCTAAAGACGTAAACATTGTACAGTGTCACCTCTATGACCTGAAGCATCAAACCCAATTAAACAAGGTGGACTTTGTATTGTCTCATCAATTTAAGATGTTTAAAAGTTTTTCTAAATGTGTCCAAACAGTGCAAGAGAATGCATTTCCTAAAAATGCTCATTGCTTCCCAAACACTTTATGTCAATCTACCTGGTCTGTTTACCATGTGTTTATTTTTTGAAGTGAAGGCGCTGACATACAGGAATCCCCTGTATATCAAAGTCTTTATTTTTAAAATCTCAATTTTCTAAATTTAATATCTTATTTTAATAGGCATGTATGTTTTTTAAAGTTATTTGAAGGTAGATTTACATTATTGATGTTGATTTTTTTGAATCTTCTTATGACAAAGTGCTAAAAGCTGATTTTACTTCATCTTCCATATTTTAATCAGAGAACAATGGTTCATATAATATTTTGAGAGAAATATGTGCGGTTATGCAAGATTAATATTTGAAGAACTTATGCAAAATATATTTCAAGACTGTTCTGGTCCAAATAATGCACTTGCAGTAAAACTTTTCCTATTTGAGGTCAGTTAGGATCATCAAAATAATTTTATTATTTGCTAAATGCTAGAATAATCAGAGGCAGAATGTTTAGCAGATTTTTTTTTCCTTATTAAAATTCAGAAGTTTGCAAACATTTTCAGAATATTTGGTTCTTTGCTCATGATGCTATGTATTTTATGAACACATCAGCCTCTCCTGCATCAAAACACCCAGATATCCTAAAAGCCTACAAGAATTTCATGTATGGCAATACTATCTAAATACATTTCAAATAAACTAAATAAGAAAAATCAACTAAAAAGATGTACTTACCGACCATGGCGCTGACCTCCCCCGCCATTAGGATGGGCACCGTGTCGTTATAGAGGCTGACGTCTATGATGCCCTTTCGAATGGTCTCTCCCACTTTGGCCCCAAGCAGCATCGAGCCCAGCGTCTCAAAGATGGACGCCAGGATGCAGGCCTGCTTCAGAGTGACTACGCCGGACCCCACCGCTGTGCCGAATGAGTTAGCCACATCGTTGGCCCCGACGGAGAAGGCCAAAATGAAGGCGATGATGAAGCCAACTATCACCATCCACAGATACGATTCCAATTCCATCTTGATATGATTTTATTAGAGCACAAATCCAAGCAGAAGAAAAAAAAAGCAGGTAAATTATTCTAAAAGGAAGAAGGTGCTTTTCGTCTTCAGCGGAGGACTTGGTAAGTCCACTCCTTTTCTTCGTCCCCTGGTTTGGAAAAAGTTCGAGGGGAGAAACACAGTTGCTAACTAAGTGTTTGGAGCTCAGTCCAAATATTGGAGACTTTATTTGATGCTGGGAGCAGGAAGCATTCCATAGCGTACTGTGAGGTAGCCTGTGTGCTTGCTCTTTCACCTGCCAGAGACAAGAGAGGAGACATAGAAACAGATTAGCGTCAGACGCCATGATTACTCAGCTACTATCCGACAACACCTCCATGTGACTTCCTCGGTAAAACTAAAACAGGGAAGTGGGGGCACAGAGAGTGAGAAGGAAGCAAGAGTAGACAGAAGCCAAACACAGGGAAAATTGGCTTTGATAAAACAGGGAGTGCTCTCCAGCAGGGAAAACTGGGGACATCTCGATTGCAGTAACAGGAAATTATAGAGCACACTCCAGATAAATCAGTCCAGACCGTTCAGGGTTGTGGCTGTCATCACTGACAATGAAAAGACCTCAGTGTCCACAGACAGAGAGAAGAGCAATGCTCCCAACAACAGACACACAGCTCATAAGTAATTTGACAACAAAATTATACATTTTGGATCATTTTTGATGAATGAGTGGACAAACAGACAGATGAAAATCAACAGGTGATGAATAAACCAAAAGGTGGATGGGTTGGTGTATCCATTTGAGTGTCCATCCAGTAGACAAATTGACAAATGAAGATAATATAAGGGACAAATGGATAATAGGTGAATGCATGATGGAAAACCACCAGAAAAGACAAATGGTTAGTGGTGAATGGGCAGATGGATACATCAACCATAGATGGACAAACAGACGTAGAGATAGATAGGTAATAGTTGGGTGATGGATAGATAATAGGTGATCTCTATAAGATTTGGAAAAGAAAAGAAGATAAATTTCTCAATTATTGACCTATATCATATGGATACCACAATAAACTTTATAAACAGAGGAGAATAAATGTAGCAAATAGATTCAAGTATGAAAGATCATAAATCTAAATGTCTACAAGCAGTTTGATCAAACATATCTCTTTGAAAAAGCAGCAGAAACGTTAGCACTTCCGACTGTCACATTCGCTGACAGAGGAGGATGTTTGTGTGTCTCAGACTCTCCTCCCATCATTCTCTCCTTCACCATCACAGTGCTGCTGCAGCAGAGCTCTCAGAATGACAAAGTTATACAACAGTTTTAGAAAGCAGCTACAGAGCACAAGTTCAAACAGAATCGAAGGCTTTGCTGCAGTTAAAAAGTGAGAAAAAAATGCTGCATTAATTTGAGACTGCAATGCCGTAGGAGCAACTGGGATGTTATTCTGTTCTCACAAAATAAATGGCTTTTTTATGGTTGAAAATATGTGGCAGAGGGAATATGACCAAATTGCTTTGGATTCTTGTACTCTCTCGGTGGAAAGAACGCCTCCCGAATATGCTGAGGTCTGACTTAAAGAGCTAATGTAAACAGTGTTGTATATTTATACATATACTATGCTTAGATAAGGGTTGGAAAGTCTAATCATTAAAATTTCCTCCAAGTCTGCTTCTATGATTATGAAAATTTGTAATCCATCCCTTTTATTGAAGATGATACAAAAATAAAATATTTTTCAGAGTTTTTCCTTTGATGCCAAGTTAACCGGGTTTCAGCAATGTTCTGATGAGTTTATCTCCCAACTGATCACATTAGATCTGCTGGAAACAACTTGTAAAGATGTTCCCATGCGGGCTGTTTATATCATAACAAAATCAACATGCTTTAAACACACATGGCCACCGACAACCGGAGCTTCTGGTCCCTGAGAACCTACTGTCACAATCTCCGCAACCTAATTAGAGTCATTGCAAAGGAGTTAATGACATCACATGAGCCTCTAAGGTTTAAATCTGTTGTTAATGCGAGGCATCAAATGTAACCAGCTTGAAGACTAAATTAGTACATTCTCTCGGCATGGAGCGACTGCGTGCTCCTTGTCGCATGGGGGGCAGGCCCCTCATTTCGAAATGACCCCCAGCCAGTCGTGGCTCCCTCCTCCCGACAGAACTCTCCATCTGGAACAGTTGAGGTCATTCACAGCTCTCCTTTATCCTTTGTTGAGTCACAACAGACACAGAATGTGTCTCAAGATCACATCTGCAGTGGTGCTCCCCACAAAATTGGGATCATGATATAGGCGAGACTATTTACCGTATTACAAAAATCAAGTCATGTCAGATTTAAAAGAGGTAACAAGAAGTATGAAGATAACCAAATTGTTGGTTTTAAAGCTGACATTAGCCTCAAGTAAAATCTCAACATAGAATTTTTCAAGAAAGGTTTCTAAGCTGTGTTAGAGCTTCACAATCTATTTAAAATCCATCAACGTCACAATATCAATGTCAAAAGTTAATTTCAGTCATTTAAAAAGTTAAACTTCTTCTTCTATGACTTTATTATAAATGGACATATGTTGAGTGTTTACTTTGCTCATTTTGATTTATTATAGCTTAAAGGTTCGCAATAACACCACCAAATTCAGTTTTTAAGAAGATCTTAGTATTACATAGGATTTTTAATGCATAAATTTAATATATTATTCTACAAAATCATATTTACAACTGCTTACTTTATAGCTGTCCAGCAAACAGACTTTGGTGGTAAGCCTTTTGGTGGCTTAACAAAAGGATGGTAAGCCACAAAGGTTATTGCTACAGAAGTTGCATGGAAGGACAGAAAATGGTTAAAAAAAAAAAAAAAAAAAAGAGAGTCGACAGGCACGTTAACAGACTATTCAAGAGCTTGATGCATTTTTATACAATGTGGACTGGAACTGGAGTCAGAGCTTCGAGACAGACGTACCCAGGATCTGGGTTAAGGGGAAAAAAATGGACAGTTTTCTTTTCAAATTTTCCATTTCAGTTAAGAACTCAAGCTCTCAAAACCTGGAAGAAGAGTAGAGAGGAAAAGAAACTATGTTACTTAAGGGTCAGTCTGTAGGTTTCAGATTTAAATTCCCCCAGCTAGGATTTCATAACATCTAACGTTGTTAATTTACTTAATTCTTAAGTTATTGAAATTGTTCAGTTTTTAAACATGTATGGGCTTCTTCAACACGTCTGTTCCTTTGTTGATAAACATTTTGTTTTGGAGTCAATTGTAAGGGTTTTGAGGGACTGATGATACGGTGTGTAAATGTTTAATCCAGTGAGCGGAGCTGCCTCAGGAGAACCAGACCACACAGGACTCACCAGAGGACATCCACACACTGCAGATTCAAACAGAGAGAGCAGACAAGAGCTCCTGCCAAATGTGTGTCAAATATACGCTGGAAGACATGAGAAAGACGAAGTGGCCCATTTATAACCCCATTTATTTTAACATATAACTCAACATGACAGCTGTACTCGACACATTCTGGACACCATGAAGACCAGTCTGTACTCTAGCACTCCCAGTTCGAAACATAAAAACTACTTGGCAGGGAGATTTTTAACTGCCCATGACCGACATGATTGAATTGAGAGTTTTTTTTTAAGTATTTTTCAGTCAATATTTATTTTGTTACAATAGGAACCACAACTGCCTCCAAATAGCAAAAATCTGTAAATAGATTGCTTCTAAAAGTGCTTAGAACTTCCTATTTTAGTAGTTAAGACACCAAATGTCCCTTAACATATATTAATATGCACAGTGAAATCTGTCTTGGCTGCACCACAGAAGACAACATTCATGGTCTTTCCTATATCCGCTCCTGAGGGCCCAGCCAATCAGCACTAAGGAAAATTAATGGCACTCCTGTATTGGCTACTTAGAGAATGCCAGCCAATAGCATGCCAAGTAGCCCTGTGGCTAACGTATTTTAGCTCCCCAAGCTGCATTTTTTTTTAACAATATTTTATCTAGGCTCTATAAAAAAATTAAAATAAAAAGACTGGGAAAAGGCAACATTTCCATAAAACAAATTTTAAATTATCACTAATAATAATTAGAATATAAAATGTGATGGATAGTGTATCTACCAAACACATTTCTAAAAAGAAGGGAGCAGATACTTTTCAGAAATAAAAGACATGAAGAAAATGCTATAAAGAATAAAGTGCAACTATGTCAAAATGGAAATAATTGTTTGATCGTTATCTGATTCTCTTTTTAAACATTACATAGTTTTTGTCACCATAATGAACAGGTCTAACTCCAGTTGAATAGCCGGCTGGGATTGATAAAGTTTTTGAATTTGAGTGTTAAAGTGAACTATCCCTAAACAAAATAGTCCCATTGTGAAGCACAGCTTGAAGAACATAATAGCTATTCAGATTCTGCAATAGCACTAATGAGATCAGACATTTAGTAATCCAATAAATTGATGTCTTAAAATCTCTGTTAGGTCAGAGCAAACCAACATCTACAGCTGAGCTAATGAAATTGGCTGAACAAAACAGGACAATCTGCCAAGATGCCCCTTCACCGCCTCATCACGGCCGTCGTGAAACAATTTGGGAAAACAATTACAGAACAAGCCACAATGGGGTTATTTTTAAAAATCTGCTTTGTGATACAATCTGCAGCAAAGAAAATCAAAAAAATGTCGATTCATCATCAGTGATGGCAACGATTTTCTGCAGTTTGAGTAAGAGCGCCATAAATTAGGCTGTTTTTTTTTTCCTTTCTAGTGGAGAAAAGCTAAATTGAATAGGAAGGTGATATTGTGAATACAAATTGGAATTGGAAGCGGGTGCTATTTGGCTCATGAGAAAAAATGTTACATCTCTTCAATGAAATGAGCATCCTGGAGGTCACATTGAACACTGGCTTCTTCCACAGGCATAACAGGCAAACATTAGCAGTGCTGCCAATTTCAGCAATATCTAGCTGAATGTGGAACCAAGTTATCAGCCCACGCATCTAATTAAACATTTCTTTTAATTAGCAACTTTGCCAATCACCTAAAACTTTCTGACCAAAACATCCTTCCAACAAGTATTACTTAACTGGATCCAATAATCCAAATATAATTTAGGGATTAGGGAATCAAATTCTGTGTCCTTGGACTGTTGACAAAGGAACACTATTCATTTAGATACTTTTAAATAAACAGATACATTATTGGTCATTTTAACTGTTTTTTTCTGTATTTAGTTATTTTGACCCAATTTTGTGGCAATGTTAGACAACACAGTTTTTATAAA